TCAACAAGATTTTGGGTCTCATTGACGTCGGACGCAAAGAGGGCGCAAACCTCTTGACCGGCGGTCAGCGATGGGGAACTCAGGGCTACTTCATTCAGCCCACAGTGTAAGCCGTGTTATTATTGACGCCAAAATTTGCTACAAATATTAATTTGCATACAATTTGTGAGCAGTTTTAGTGACGTGAAAGACGACATGACTATAGCCAAGGAGGAGATCTTCGGACCCGTGCAGTCCATCTTTAAGTTCAAGACGTTTGATGAGGCGATCGATCGCTGCAATAACACCAGCTATGGATTGGCTGCCGGCGTGTTCACCAAAGACATCAATAAGGCGTTGAGATTCTCGCAGCAGGTCCAGGCCGGCTCTATTTGGATCAACACCTTCCTGGCACTGGGACCTCAGGTGCCCTTTGGAGGCTTCAAACAGTCCGGCTTTGGCCGAGAGAATGGTGAGGACGGCCTACACGAGTATCTGGAGATCAAATCGGTATATGTTTTATTAGTTGTTATTTTTATGTGAGTTTTTTGTAACATTTTTTTGTCCATTTTTATCCATAGGTTGCTATTTATAACGACCAAAAGAACTCTTAAATGGATTTTTGGTTTCAATTGGTTTCACTTAAGCGAAGCTCTGAAACAAATATCTTTTTAATACCAATTCCGATGTCGAGGAATATAGCAATTATTTTCGAGTTTATTCTTAGTTTGTCTATTAATTTGATACGAAAATTTACTAATGATTTTATGTTCAATTATTGTATCATTCGAGATTATAAAAATAAAAATTAGACAAAACAAATGCATATAATAATAATAAAATTGATTTTATAATTATGACTCTAATAATTGAAGTCTAATTACAATACAATTAATCACTATAGATTTTTTGTATAATTGTTATTAAACACTCTAAATACTAAAATTATTATGAAATGATTATATTCTGTAATCAGATATATTTTGTAGGCAAATAAGATGATTGAATATTAAGGAATTCTGTATTGCAACTATATTAAGTGAATATCAAATAACATTATTTAATGACTTTATGAATGTGTATATAATTAATATAATTATTAATTACGTAGATTTGTGCAGCAATTTAATGAAGTGAATTTTTTATATTTTTAGAAAGTTTATCTTATATAAGTCGATGGTGCTAACTTATATAAATTATAGAGAATGATAACAGGGTGCAAATTTTGGTTTATTTAATTCATAAATCAATATGCTTAGTAGCAGGCTTTCTTTTCACAAAATCGATACTGATAATTTTGATAGTACAGTAATTTTCTACATTATATTACTAATAATT